CTCTCCTTCATATCTACATTTCCCACTCAACTCCTGACATGAAAACACTGTGAAGCCAGGCGTGGTGGTGCACACCTGTAATCCTAGCACATGAGAGGCTGAGGCAGGAGAAGAGAATCCTTTGCAAATTCAAGATCAACCTGATCAAAGTGAGTCTAAGGCCAGCCTGAGCTGCATAGCGAGACCCTTACTCAAAAAGACAAAAAAATAATGCTGTGTGAGAAAGTGAATTTGAATCAGCAGTGTACAGGGAAGGAAGAGCTACAGCCATGGTCTCAAGGTCCTTGCATAAGTGGAAATGAGCGATCCCAGCAGAGAGGCGCTGCCTCCAGCCATGTTCAGCAACCACACGTGAAACACGTTTTCCCGTGGTTCCACATGAATTCATCGGCTCAGATGTGCAGTATGGTTAGGGCTGGCCTGAGTCACTGGTCTGCAAAGAGAGGTGTACAAGACAATCAATTAGTCTGTATAAAAAAATAGAACTTACATTCACATTTGTTTTTATATCATCCTCTTAAATTTGCTGTTTGCACAACTTTTAATGTATGCAAAATGATTCTCATATCATGAATGATAATGAATAATAGCAAATCGTTTATGCACATCATAGGTACCCGCTGATATTTTTATGCCAACAGGGTAATCGGTAAGTAGGCTTGAAGACTGATGCTCAAGATTTTTGTTTTGGTGGAGCCTGCAGTGTGAGTGGGACTGAAATGTATGAAGCAGGACTGGAGCGTAACAGGTTTCCTGAGTGTGGGGAACGTTGTGGGAGACATTCATCCAAGATGAATCTTAGGAAGAGGAGCCCCAAGTTTAGCAGGACCAGGCTAAAAGGCTGAGACCACTTAGAAAAGAACAAGCCCAGTGAGTTTTACCTAATTACAATAAATTGAATCACTTCCAGATGTGGCCTGATTCAAGGGAGAAAAATCATAAAAGTCAGAGAAACCTAGAGAGGTAAAGGCCTCGCATTCTTCCAGGAGCACACATTGTTGTTTGTTTGTCTGTCTGTTTGTTTGTTTGTGATAAGGGCTCACTGTGTAATGCAGGCTGGCCTTGAGTTTGCTTATGGAGTCCAGGCTAGCCTTGAACTCATGGTGATCCTCCTGCCTCAGTCTCTGAGTGCTGGGATTACAGGTGTGCACCACCACTCCCTGTCATAAGCACACATTTTATAGGCCCTGTAGTCTATCACTTTTGACAGCAGCCTAGTAAGTAGGCCTTTGCAGTAAGGGGACATAAGACAGGTTTTAATAGGAAGTGGCAGGGGACTATTTGGGTACTGTGTGATGTGGATAAAAGATGAAAATCCTGTAAGTTTGAAAAAAATAGCAAGGGCGGTTTAGGAGCTGCTGAAATCAACTTTCCCCTGTAGCTTTTTGTAGGAGATCAATTCTGCCTAAATATAATATCAAACTCATGGCTAATTCTGGCATGTCTAGCATGAACACTATGCTAAAAGGCTATCAATAAGACAATGAGAACCATGGGAGAAGAAACATAACGTCCTAAAAACTAAAATAGGGGCAGTTTAGTTTGTATGTACCCTAATTATAGGACCTCAGGTTATGTAAACCATAAAAATAAAGTATTCTTCTCTGGGTGTTTTTACATATTCCAGTTAAAATTTAAAACATCCTCTCCCAGAGCATTTTACAGTTGAGACACCTACTGTGGCCCAGTGGCGAAGGCTGTAGGGATTGCTGCGAAAAAAACAAAGTGGTGGGATGGCTTTGCCACCAAAAAGGATGCTGGGAGCCTGAGTTTAGAATGAGTTCCCCGAGGACAGACTGGGAAGATGACCCAGAGAGTCACCTAAAACTCCCAAGAAAAGGTGGACAGTCTAGTCCTGTCCATCCTACTCCATAAAAATGAGACAATAAAAATGAGGGTTTTTTTTTTTAATCAAGAAAGGAAGCTGTACCCCCATCCTGACAAGGCCTCTGCTTGCAAATTCTCCTCAGCAGAGATGTATGTGAGCAGCTGGAAACCAACAGCGCTTTCTGAGGGCTTTCTTCCAAATGTACGAGCTCCCTCTGAATTCTGACTGATCAAGACAGGCTCTCTCTGCTCCAAAGCTTGACAAGATCAAATATCCAAAGCTGTGTAGCCATCCTGCTTTGGAGAACACCTTCCAAGACAGTTACCAACTCTAGCTTGTTTAGCTCCCTCTCCACTTCCCACCCCTGCACACACCAGGAGCAGGAAAATCCATCTTTCTCCATAAGCCACCCTGCTCACTATCTGAACGCCAAACTAATTTAGAGGCCACCTCGAGTTCTGGGATGTTACCTTCCTCCTTAATCCGATAATGGCTGCCTCTCTGCAATCATGCTACATCTGTTTGAGTGTGTATTTGACTTGTGGATCTCCTGGGGTAGAAAAAAAATTTTTAATTATTCTTTAGAACAACCAGTAATAATGAGAGAAACTAGTGGGCATTTAGAAGCTATTTGAAGGTGCAGTTCCCAGCCTGTGCATTATTTCTGTGTGCAAACCATTGTTAAAGTACCAAATTCACTGTGCAATGGGGCTGGAAAAGTCCCTGAACCCAAGATCACTTTGGTATGCATATTGCTGAAACTTGGTCCTATTTAACATTTTCATCAGCGGCCTGCTTAAAGGAGCAGAGAGCAAGCTCATTAAGTTCCTAGATGGGTGGGATGGACAGAGCACTGGAGAACAGGATCAGAATTTCTCCGGCCCTTGCCAAATTAGCAAAACTTGTCAGGGTCAAAGATGCTCACTGGGGATAGGCAGAGAAATGTGAGCTGCCCAGACATAAGCTGAGTGGTACAAGACACACATCTAAAAAGAATATAGACACAAAAAATAGACTCGGAGTGGGAAAGAAACTAGCCCTACGAAACCCTGGTGTCCAGGGAGCCTCTGCACCCTCAGTACAGATTCAGATCCCAAACTGCAGAATTCAGAAGCTTAAACCTCCCTGGAATTTGTAAGAGTCTGGGGGAGCTTTCCTTTCTCATGAGCACCTCTAGCTTCAGATTCCAGCTTCCACTTAATTAGCCTGGTTTTTTGGTTCGTTTTGCTGTCCTATTTTAGTCACTACATTATAACCATGTTGACCCAGCATAAAACCCACTTCCTCCCATGAGCAGATCTCAACCTCCTGCAGAAGGTTCTATGCCTTTCCTGGGTTATCCTGGCTCCTGCTCCCCGCTCCCAAGTACATTTCTCCCCGACGTAGTTTAACAGGGTGTTACCTGAATAAGGGCACTCTGTCCCTAAGAGGAATCTGGGAACATCTGTCCCACTATGTTTGTGTCTGTGTCACTAACAAAGGTAAATGTTACAAAATCATGAGCGGATGAAGCTACTGCTAGGGTCAGCTGCTTTTCTGTGAAAGAGCCGATTGTAAATATTTTGGAATTTGTTGCAACTACTAAATGCTGATGCTGTAACATAAAAGCATTTCAGGCATGATATGTCAATGAAAGGACAATGCTGGATTTGGACCAGGGCGGACCACAGTTTCATAACTTATGCTAGGCTCAGGTTTGGAATCTTCCAGCCGGTTCATTGTCCACATGCAGAAAGCAGCAGCCAGCAGGCCGAGGTTTCTGACAGCTCATACAACACTAAGTGCTGGTAAACTTCAGACTGGAAACAGGTGAATCAACTTCCAGCCAGGCCCCTTTCCTCTGCTCCACCAGCAAGCTATTTCTAGAAGGTTCGAGGACCCCTGTTTATGTGGCAGAGCCTCTTTTGGAAGTCTTCCCACGGTGACTTTTGGTATGAGTTGTTGAGTCCCCTTCCCAAGACAAGTGCTGGGCTAATGACTTGAGTGAGGCTGTCTCTTTGTTCCAAAACGCAAAAAACAAGAAAGGAGCCCAAAATAAATGAGGACAGTGATAATCAAAGTTCTAGGGTCATCATTTTATGTAGTTTAAATAAAATTAAATGTGACCCAACCTCCACCTACCATGAAGAATTGTTTAAAGAAGAGTAATTTTTTCACTTATTATCAAGATAGTTGTAAAGAGGATCAGAGGAAGAACCCGCCAAAGTTATCAAGAACTGTGTGCCAGAGAAAGTGGTAGAATTCTCTAATAATCAGCTCAGAGAGTGGTCCTTCTGGGCGGGGTTGGGATTGTATGACAGACAGAGATGGTGACTCTCCAGCTCCTGTCCCTAAGTCCCAAAAGCTGTCCCTAAGTCTCGAAAGCTACGGGACAAAGCTGGGCCAACACAACTGCACTGGCTCATTACACTTAACAAGAACAGAGCAATTTCTGAAGGAGAAATTTAAAATTTTTTCAATTTTTTTAAAGAGAGTTGTGAAGTGGAGAACACGAAAGTGAGTACTTGTATTGGAAAAAAATTGTCCAGATTTCAAAGGACCTCTGAGTACCTCCAGGCATTTGAAGAAACTCATGGAAAACATGAAGGTCAAGGCCAGAAGCTTTTAGCCCTTTTCAAACGCCCATGTGTGGAGTTGGGAAGGTAGCTTAGCAGTAGAACACCTGCCTAGCACGCCCGAGGCCCTGGGTTTGATCCACAGGAACACCTAACACCACCAAAGAAAGAGGAAATGTTTCTGTGCTACCTGTGTGACGTCTGTACTGCAGGAGAGTGCTGGAGGGGATTCTGTCGTTGTGTCTTTGTTTTCAATGCTGGGAATCACATGCCAGGCAAGCGCTGTACTACTTGAGGTCAGATGGTTCTTACTGTGCATGGCAGGTGGTCTGTAATTTGCAGGCGCAGTAGCTTGGGTTTATTCTTTCTTAAAAGTTGGGGCCAAGTATTTATGAGAGCTCTTGTTTTATTACCTTGGATAAAAACAAACGATAGTGTACTTCTTGTTACTAATTAAAAATGGTGCAATCTGTTCGAATATCATCTCTAGACAGTATATTTTATAAAACTATCTCAAAAGATCATTTGTCTTAAGCCACAACTTTTCCAAAGTCCACTCGTTCCAAATCACAAACTTTCGATAATTGTAATTTTTCTTTCTTTTAATTTTTTTCCAGATGACCCAGGAACTTGTGCCTCATGTGCCGAGGGGTATCGCATGTAAGTCTGGCTTTCTTTCCTCACAGCCCTAGCTCCTCTGCACCGTAAGCTTTACTGACTGCATCTTGCGTCTTAAATCTTAAAGCAGAGTCCCTGCAGCCTGAAGCAGCCATGTCCTATGGGCTATTAATGAGCATTTCTTGGATTTAGCAACAAGAGCCCAGCTGTTTTCTTGCCTGGAAAGGAGCCTCTTTCTCTTGGTCCTGGAAGGCATCCAGCCTGACTCTGGTGTCTAGGAATCCTGCCACAGGTCTCCAAGGTTCAGTATCACTGTTTACAGATGGCCCTTAATAAAACACCCAGCTCAAGCAAGATATTTCCAGATGTCTGCTCTGACACCTTGTCCTTAAACAGAGTCCCAACACTCAGGGAGCCAGGTACTACATTAGCTCCCCTGGGCAATGAAGACGCAGGGCTCTAGGTGAACTTAAATGAGTGGGCTGCAATGCTCTGTAGTTAAAAACCAAGGCCGGTGTGTCTCATCATCATCTCCCTTCCTAATCTAGTCTCCTTTCCAGGTTACAGTGTTGTCAATCCTGTAAGAAAAGCTAAGAAAAAGAAAGAAACAAAGGGAAAGGCAGGTCCTGAATAAGGTACACAAGCTGCCTGTTCTCTCCTCAGCAGAGGAGAATTACGTGATATATAATTTCTCACGCCATTTTTCCCCTTCATCTTTTATCAGTTTGCAGGAATCCAGGCATGGTGCACACCTGTAATTCCAGCACTCTGGGAGGCCGAGGCAGGAGGAGTAAAGTTGAACCTGCCCTGGGCAACTTAGCAACTTAGCACACCATGACTCAAAATAAAACATAAAAATGGGACTGGGGATGTAGCTCAGTAAGAAAACCTGTGTTCAGTTCCCAGTACCACACACACATCCACACACCCACGCATGAGTTCAGGTGTTTCACATTTTTGTATATTTCATATACACTGGCGATGTCTTGGGAATAGGACCCAAGTCTAAACACAAAAGTCCTCACGTTTCATATTACAACTTGTACACGCAGCCCAAGTGTAATTTTATTCAGTATTTATAATGATTTTGTGCATAAAATGAAGTTCGATGGCCCTGATAGCACTCCTTTCAGTGCCTAGAAAGTTCTGGATTTGCCTTCTGTTCCTTCCCATTGTGGATTTTCGAGCTAGAGATGATCTCTTAGTTTTGGTCCAACTTTTCCAGAATGGTTGCGGTTCTTTTACTGACCATCTCCCCTCATCATGCTACTCCTGCCCCACTGAGTTCAACCACTGTTCATCTTAAACACAGGAGAGAGGGCCCAAGAAGCTCCACACCTGGCCAGTTTAAGATAGGCCGGGTGACACTGGATAGGCCCAAAGTCACTTACCAACACCCTCATGGGGACACTGACATGGGGTGCAGCCTGCCACAGGAGCTCCGAGCAGGAATGAATGTATGTTGGCAGGGGTCGCAGGATGAGGGAGGGGGCACGAAATGCTCCTTGAGGAACTCAGGGAGGAGAGAGCTTCACAGACATAATGACCCTGCAGCAGAGGGTGGAGAAGTCTCCCGTCCCTCTTACAGCGGTTGCCCCCTCCAGTCTCCCCTGACTGCTTCTGCACTTGACATCAGAACACCCCACACATCTGGCCCTGCCTCTGTTCTCCCCTGAGGGCACCCGGTGTGGGAGGGGGAGCAGCCTCACCAGCTTGCTAAGGGGAGGGGGGTCACCAAGCCCCTGGGGAGAGACAGGCACCGAAAGGACACACCCACACCTCTGCGGTGGGGCGCGGCTTACTTGTGTCAAGAAGCACCTATATTTAGCGCCTTTGAATACAGCTGAGTGCTGTACAGTAACTTTCAGCAAGATGTGCAGACACGTCCCTGGCAACTCACTGACGCTTTGAAATTCATCAAAGTGCATGAAACAACTTCCTTCCTTCCACTCTTCCTTCCAATGAACCTACACTTCAGCAGTCTCAATTACAACATTTGCCTATCTGATGAGCATAATCGGTAATAAATGTACAAGCTGATGTGATGCCTATATATGAATATACACAATTGTGTGTGTGTGTGTGTGTGTGTGTGTGTGTGTGTCACATGGACACTGCCAAAAACGGCATCCATCAAGAAAAGAGAAACTTGCATAAATAACTTAACACTAAATTTATGGAGGTATCATGAGAGAAACAAAGTTAACTTCAGCCTCTACAGTTACAAGAGGCGCTCACAGTGGTGGCCAGGAGCTTCTGGTTGTTCATGCATTTGTTGGATGACCCGGCTGATGCATGTGCACATGTTTTTTGCTGACTCTGTGTACAGATATAGATATATGTATATATATATATATAGTGTGTGTGTGTGTGTGTGCATGTAAAAGCCACAGCCCCTTGCTGCGGTTAGTAACCTGGCTGCTAATATTCTAATAAGCCCTTCTCAGGCCTTCTAAATGCCAGGCGCTATCAGCAAATCACACAAACGATCTCTGCACACCGACTTCATTTTAAATCTCGATCCACCCTTTAAGTGGATCTTGAACATTTTTCCCTTGAGCCTTGGTCTCCGTGCCTAGAAATGAATGGAATATCCACCCTCTGGGGCTTGGGCAGAGTCTCCTAAGGCTTCAGAATCCCACAGGAGGTGGCTGAGGCCTTGGCATCGTGGGGCGCCCAGGCCCAGCACCAGTGTCCTTGGGTGAGCTCCAGGCCCCCGGTGCTTTCCGAGTGTGCGTGGACGCGGGACCCCAGAAAACTGCGGGCCTCATTCTGCGCCTCTCTGCCGCCCAGGTTTGAGCACCGCTGCTACCGAGCCTGCCCGGAGAAGACCTTCGCTGAGGAGCGGGAGTGCAGGGCCTGCAGCGCCCACTGCGGCAGCTGCAGCCGCCACGAGTGCTTCTGGTGCGAGCAGAGCTTCTTCTTGCTGGGTAGGTGCAGCCGGAGAGGGACCTCGCCCCTGGTCCGGAGAAATTTAACTCGGTTTGAAAATAAGTATTAGCCATGACCACTCCCTTCTGCGTGGATTACTGGAGCATGGCTCTTTATCTAATTAATCCCGACTACTTCAAACAGTGGGAACAAGATCGAGTTTGGGGGCGCGGGGGGCTCAAGAGAAATGTTTGGGAAATGAATATTCAGAGCCACGACCCTTCTCTTGGGGTTTTGACCCATGTTCTAGATTCCCGGGCCCTGCAGAGGTGAACGCGATCTTAGACTCCAGCCGCGCCCCTCACCAAGCCGTGTGGCCGGCTGAGCCTGGAGCCTGACCCTGGCTGGTGGACAGAGGGAGGTGGACAGTGAGCCCCACGGGCCATCCCCGGAGCCTAATTTTCCTTGCAGAGCTTCAAGGATGCTAAGCTAAGCTCCTGATCCCTTAAATCGTAACCACGTTCCTGGGCCGAAATATGCTAAAGCCATCAGGGTTTCTTTAAAAACAGTCACAAACCGGGCATGGTAGCCTGTAATCCCAACACTCAGGAGGCTGAGGCAAGAGGATCATTGCAAGTTCGAGACCAGCCTGGGCTACAAAGTGAGCCTAAGGCCACCTGAACCACATAGTGAGGTTTTGTCTGAAAAAGACAACAAAACAAAACAAACAAACAAAAACTGATCGCAAGCTTTGTAGGGATGCCGTGAGCATGGCCTTGCACGCAAAGCCCGCCTTCACACGCGCCCTGCCCGCTGTCCCCAGGTGGCCACTGCGTGCGCGAGTGTGGGGCAGGCTTCTACGGAGACGCAGACCTGGGAGAGTGCGAGCCCTGCCACCCGGCCTGCGAGAGCTGCACAGGCCTGGGCAGCGACCAGTGCAGCAGCTGCCGGACAGGACTGAGACTGCTGCATGGGACATGCAAGCCGCAGCCCCCAAAGGGTAGGTGCCTCACAGGGCCCCCTCAGCAGCCTGGTCCCCTGCCCCCCTGCTCTGCTGCCCCCGTGCTTCACAATCTCCAGGGGAAGAAGGCTGGGCAGAGACACACAGCCCGTGTGACAATCACGTGTGGGCTGCTGCGGGGTGGGGGGCGGTAGTGGGAGGGGGAGGAAAGTGGGGCTGGCAATTGCGGAAAGTGGGTGGGTGGGGGGGTCACCTGAAGGTCGATTTGTTTTCTGGTGCTGAGGATTAAACCTAGGGACTCACATATGCTAGGCAAACACTCTTGAAAATGAACTTGAGATCCTCCTGCCTCTGCCTCTTGAGTAACTGGGTTACATATGTGTGGTACCGCACTTAGCTACAAAGGGCACTTTATTTATTGATTTGTTTGTTTTCTTTTCTTTTTTCTTTTGAGACAGGATCTCACTATGTAGTTTAGGCTGGCCTCAAACTCACAATAATCCTCCTGCCTCAGCCTTCTGAGTGCTAGGATTGCAGAAGTTTACCGACTTCACCACCACATTTAGCCAAAGAGCATTTTGTGAATGGCCTGGCAACCTGAGTTTCTACCTAGGCGAGGTGCCCAGGAGCATGAGGAGGCTCATAGGAGGCAAATGACTCAACTGCTGTCTTCTTACAAAACTCTCAAATTGGGGTGGGGGTGTAACTTTGGTGGTAGAGCCTTTAGACCTTGAGTTTTTATCCCCCAGCACAAAAGGAAGAGAAGAAGGAAGAAGAGAGAGAGAGAGAACAAAGGAGGGAAAAAGAAATAGGAATTTCTGTCATTCTCTAGTGCATGGGTCTGTTCACGCCTGGTAAGGAACCTGCCCGTTAGACCTAAGGCACTGCGTCTTGCACTAAAACGGAGGACCCTGCTGGCTGCATAAGGGCTTCCCTTAAAGCTGCCCCCGTTCTGCTGCAGACCAGGGAAGCAGGCCGGAAAAGGAGCACTGCGGGGTCTCCTCTTCCTGAGCCCTGAGACTGGGTCTCACGTTCCCACCCTGGTTATGTGCTTTCTTACAAGGCAGTCGCAGGCTTTCGGTGACCTCTCCATGTCCAAGGTGGTCATAAAACAAATTCCTCCTCCTACTGGAAGAAATCAGATGTGCATTCTACACGGGGATGCTCTCAAAAACAAAGGGTGCTGTCCGTTTGATATGGGGCGAGGATCAGTTCGGGGTCAGCACAGTGCAGAGCGATAGCAGCTGAAGGACACCACACAGGGCAAGTCCCCAAAGGGCTCAGAGTGGGGTAGGGCAGGAAGGAGAGAGATTTCCAGCTGCTTGCAGAGGAGCATGTCTGCGCCTGCTGTCTGCTAGAACAGCTCTGCACATAGACTTAAAGAGCAGCTCAACCATTCCAAAGCCAGCGGCCTCGGAGCACTCAGGACCTGATTTAGAGATGGAGCTAGAAAAAAAGTATTCGGCCCAGATTGGGATATCTTCCATGATTATAGCCAAAATGCTGCGAATGAGTGTGTCTGGCACTCAGGCATTCGTGCACGCCAGGAGAGAAATGGTCTGGTCCTGCATCTCTCACTAAGAACATCTGTATTTTATCTGGCATCCAGAGGATGAGCAGATCCAAAAGAGCCAAGAGTTGAGGCAGACCTGCCCGCCGTGTGATCGCACGTCTTTTCAACTGGGCTACGCATTTTGCAAGCAAAAATCAGACTTGGATTGCTCCCCTTTGTTGGAGCACTATGCCACCACCCTGCTTTTTCTGTGCTCACAGTATGATGTTTTCTGAAGAGAGGAAGGATTTATTCTGTTTGGGACTTTCACACTAATAAGGGATGCAAGAAGCAGATGAGAATGTTTCTCATGGCTGGACAAAGGAAATAAAGTCAATGACAGAGCTGCGCATTTCCACATCTGTGATCTATGAAATAAGACAGGCAGAGGATTAACAAAGAGAAAACCCCGCTTATTCACAAAGCAAGGTGATGCTCAGCTCCCCTGGCACCCTTTAAGGCCTGAAATGGATAGCAAAGGAGAAATGCATTCCAGAAAGCCTCCGGAGTATCAGAGCCAATGCCTACATCTTTCTCCTGCTGCCTTCTCCTTAAAAACAAGGTCAGGAGTGTAACAGGAGACGGAGAGTTCCAGAGAGGGAACACTAATGAGCCACACCTCTCCGATGATGGAAAGCAGATTGCAGTCATGCTGGGCCAATTTAGAAGAAACCCAGACAAATTACAGAGCGTTTCTCTGAGCACGCAGCCGACTAGGTGGTACCAACAAGGATTTCAGCGGTTTTGATTTTGGTTTTAAACATAGGTTCAGACTCAGGTAGAGAAGAAGGAACATCAGTTAATTCCTTCACCATGGTGCTTCCCAGTGGAAACAGTGGGACCACATTTGCATTTGAGGATCACCAAGCACCCCACAAAGCATGGGTCAGTGTGCATTGGGAAAGTACATCTGAAATCAAAGACCAGCTGGAGTTCCCCGAGCTCCCTCTGGGATACTGTGGTTGACAAGGAGTAGGCAGCAGCCAAGGCGACCAGCACAGCGGGGAAGGCTCCCAGCCTAGTCCCAGGGTGAGCACTGCAGCACACATCCGGCCAGCCAGGGCCAAGCAATCTGTGGAGGCAGCCGCCCAACCCTCTGCCCTGCCAGCCACCGAAATCACTGCTCAGATGCATGGACCACCTCTGCCGCCCCTGCCCGAATCACTAATGGGTCGTCATCATTATTTGGTCCAGTGTCTCTATGGGGCAGAAATAAAACTAATATTAAACAAACCCTGGACCTCTCCAGCAGTGCTGTGGCCTCACACCAGGCAGCATCGGGGGAAATGTCCCAGGAGGCACTGGATTTTCGTAGGTGGCTCTCTCCCCTCCCTGCCGGCCCTCACAGCAGTGCTGGGAGGTCCCAGAAGTGATGCCTGAGAACTCCCCTACCCACTTCCTGCACCACCGATTAAAACTGCAGTGGAGCAGGCTCCAGTGACGTGAGAATCCGATCTACAAAATGCAGACATGGGAGCTAACTTTTTATTGTTAGCTGCATCTGAACAGTTTATAGATAGCCGATCTTCGGAACCTGGAGCCATTCACAGACACCGACGCCAGGCTCACCTGAAGGCAAGGAGCCACCTTATTGCATAATAATAACTGCACTTTAAAATCTTTAAAGATGCCACAGAAACCTGACTTTTAGTAGGACTTTGTCCCTCTATGTATGGACAGACAGAAGTGAAAGGAGCCACTCTACTGATTGTTAAACACCCTGGAATTTTGTGCGTGGTTTGCCAAACTCCTGGTGATTAAAACCAGCTCTGCCAGGAGTTCTTTACACTACAGAAACTGGCAACACCACAAATAGAGATTATTTTTTCTAGAAAGCTGTTTTACCAGCCCATCACTGCTTTGGCCTCTCTCAAACTACTTTCAAATCCGGGTTAATTACTGAAAAACATCTCTCTAGTGGAGGCGGACTTTACAGTTAGGGAGGGGCGGGCCCTGGAAGTGCAGCTCTGCGGTAGAGCACTTCCATAGCATGCACAACCCGAGACCCTGCAAAGGAAAGAAGAACTCCAGGGTGAGGCAGACCTGAACTCAAATCCTGGCTCTGCTGTTTCCTAGCAATGTGACCTCAAGCAAGATTCTCATCCTCTCTGAGCCTCGGTTTCCCCATCCATAAAATGAGAGCATGAAGCTACTGCATTTGGAACATTTTCCAGAATGAAATGTGAGGGGGTGCACGTGTGTCTTCCAGAAGACACTCCCACTCCCAGCCCTGTGCCCTGATCCATCAGTTCACTTTCAAAGTAGCACTCCTGGTGTCATCCAAGGAAGGAGTTGAGGAGTCTAAAGTATAATGTAGGACTGGAGAAGACAGAAAGAAGGCAGCAAATAATGACCATTTGAGATGACAAGTGACCAGGCAGAGCCCTGACTTACCAAGCATGTATACTCACAGAAGTGTTGATAGCAGCTTTATATATGATGATAAAACACCCAAAATGAGGGGCCAATCTAAAAATGGGTTGTGAGTCATACAAATAAATATACAAACCATTAAAAAGGATGTTTTCAAGGGGCCAGAGACATAGCTCAGTGGTACAGCACCTGCCTGGCAAGCGCAAGGTTCTGAGTTCAATGCCAGTATTTAAAAAAAATGATATTTGCAAAGAATTTTAAAAGAAGCTGGGGATTTAGCTCAGCAGCATAAGTGCTCATCCGGCAAGCATGAGGTCGTGAGTTCGATCCCCAGTACAAAAAATATACATATATACAAAAAAAAAGAATTTTAAAAGAAAAATTCCTGTAAGATATAATGTTGAAGACAGCATACAGAGTTATGATATAAATGTATAAATGATTGCCTATGTATTCATAATTACACTCACACGATCCACACAGAGATGGAAAATCTGGGCACTGAAGTATACACAGCAGCCAATTCTATGTGGCGGGGTTGTAGGTGAAGCTGATCTTTATCTCTTTGGCATTAAAAAGCACTTTATTTTTTTTAATAAAAAGAAGCTGTGTCCACCACAAACCCATCTTTGGTGAAGAACCTGCTGCAGGAACGACGAAGGCAGAAAGTTCAAATCAAAAGAGGTAACAGGGAAGCAGGGAGGAGACCATCACTGCCAAGAGACAGCCTTTGCTCTGTAGAAAGCTGGGGGAGGGGGGTGGAGGTGCTGAAACCCTAAGAGCGATGGGGAGAGGAGGCCAGAAGCAAATGTCAGCGGGCGCTCACTGAGGGAAACTAAGGAAACCCAGCGGTGGAGATTTCTGCAGCATACAGGGACATCAGCCTTAAGCCTGGGAAAAGCTGTCAAAAAGACCTTCTTGGAAGCAGGTGCCATGGGGCATGCCTGTATCAAAGCTCCTGCAGAGGCTGAGGCAGGCGGATCACAGGTCTGAAGCCAGTCTGGGAAACTTAGCAAGGCTCTGTCTCAAAATTTTTAAAAATGGAGGTGAGAGTGGGGGTGGCAGCGCTGGAGATGTAGCTCAGTGGTAGAACATTTGTGCAGCTTTTAGCAAGCCATGCCATCAATCTGTAACACTGCAAATGAAACAAATGAATGGATGGGTGGATGGGTGGATGGATGGATGGATGGATGGATGGATGGATGGATGGGTGGATGGGTGGATGGATGGATGGATGGGTGGGTGGATTGGTGGGTGGATGGATGGATGGGTGGGTGGATTGGTGGGTGGATGGATGGAGGGGTGGATGGATGGGGGGTTGGATGGATGGATGGGCGGGTGGATTGGTAGGTGGATGGATGGGTGGATGGGTGGGTGGATGAATGGATGGATGGATGGATGGATGGATGGATGGATGGATGGATGGATTGGTGGGTGAATGAATGGATGGGTGGGTGGATGGATTGGTGGGTGAATGAATGGGTGGGCGGGTGGATGGATGGATGGATGGATGGGTGGATTGGTGGGTGGATGGATTGGTGGGTGGATGGGTAGGTGGGTGGATGGGTAGGTGGGTGGACGGGTAGGTGGATGAATGGATGGATGGGTGAGTGGATGATAGAAGACAAAGTGATCACTTTGACTGGAGTCTGTAGTTAAAAGAATAAAGAAGTGGGAGATTTCACAGTGTATACCTTTCATCCTTGTTGGACCCTGTGACTATTATATAGATAATAAACTGAATCAGTGAAATGAAGTGAACCCCTGGCTTTAGCTGTAGTCATTTACATGGTTTAACTCTAGCCACTTCTGAAGGGGGGACGATAAATTTTCTTAGTCAAAGAAATTCTTCTTGCTTTCTTCCTTCCCCGTTTTAAGTCCTGTCCAGTGTAGAATTTCTGGAGTGGGAAGGAAGGGAAACCACGATTAAGGTTTCCCTTTTTGTCTATCCAGGTTAGCTAATCTTTTGAACTATAGCTGGGGAAAATGACAATGGCTGTGAACTGCTTGTGCAGGGCTCCCTCTGGTGGAAATAACTGGGCATTGCTGCATTCTGCACGGATTTTATGCGTAAAATATAGGCAAAATGAAAGATATATGCAATTAAGAATACATGTACATGTGTAAGTACACACTTTGAATAATTCTTAAAATTAAGTAAAACCAATGTCTTTATATGTATGATCTGTTAGTACAAAAATGAAATCAAAGGAAAATCAGAGCTGGGTGTGGTGGTGCTCACCTGTAATCCCAGCACTGGGGAGGCTGAGGCAGGAGGATCATTGAGACCATCCTGGGCTACAAAGTGAGCTTAAGGCCAGCCTGAACTGCATAGCGAGACTCTGTCTTAAAAAGACAAAAAGAGAGAAAAGAAAACGAGGAAGAAAATCAGCCCGTGCCCTGAACACAGAGTGGATGTTATTCTTTGAACCACATCTCGCATCCACTCAACTTCCCATGACTGAGCACTTTCCGCTGTCTTCTCCTGTGAGCTCAGTGCCACTGTCAGGTGAAAGGGGCCTTTGGGACCACTTTTGTGTGGGCAGCGTGGCCAACCTGGCTGTGTGAGGCTCATCCCCCTCCTGGGGAGGGGGTACACCAGTCTTTAGCTTTTGTTGTGAACTGAAAAGCCAGGGCAAAATTTTCTCTCCAAAGTAGGAAAACAAACCCAGTGTGGCAGCCTGGGCAGTGGTATGAATGTGTGCGTGCGTGTGTGTGCATGTGTGTGCATGCACTGCTGTTTGCACATGGGTTCCGTACGCGTGTGTGTAGATGTATTGTTTCTGTCGGCGTGTGTGCGCGTGCCCCCGCGCCCACGCTCACGTACCTGCATCTGCCTGGTTCCCGGGAGCGCCCCCGCCCGGCGGTCGAGTAGGAGCGTGGGGAGGCGGGGACAAGAGCGGGCTGGAGTGGAGTTGCCGTCGCCTTGGTTAAGCCCAGGGCTGTAGTGGTGGGATCTGTAGGTGGTGGACCCTGGAGCTGCTGCCTAGGAGGAGACGAGAGAGGGCCAGGATGGGGTGGCGACAGGACAGCCCGGGGGTGGGGGGCAGGTGGGGGCCGCTCCGGCTCCCGCGCGGTCCCAGGGGTGGGGGTGGGGCGCCTGGCGGGGCGATGAGCTCCGGGCAGCCTTCGGCTGAGTTAAGGTGAGGTGGGTCAGGGTGCAGTCCGCGGGGCTGCACTGAAGAGCACAGGCCTGAACACTGACAGTGTAACCTGGTTTTCCAAGAGCAAGAAAAAATGTGTTTCTGTAAGAGGCTCAGCACACAAGCGCCTGCCTGAGAAGGCAGGGTCCTGAATTTGAGTCCTGAAACAGAAAGGCAGGAAAGAAGGGAAAAAAGAAGGAAGAAAGCAAAGAAAGAAACAAAGAAAGAAAGGAAAGGAAAGAAAGAAACTCTTGGCAAAGACAATGACCAAAGAAACAGGATGACTACGTTCTTGATCCCTGCAAGGTTGCAAAGAAAGTGCTGAAGATCAGCTGCCAATGAGGGAGCAAGAGGTAGAAAGAATAAGACCTGTTATGCACACTTACCAGCTCCCCATGAGGAAAGCAACCATTATCTGCTCCAAATACATACGACTAATGCAAATTTAAAAATAAATTCACTCAGTGTTTCCAATCAGGTGGCTCCTGATGCTTTACATGGCTGCTCAGCAAGTAAAATAAATACAGTATATTTTACCCTTGTAATGATGTTAAAATATGAAAAATAGTGAGTAAAATCTACATGATGGGCAGGTGCCAGGAGTTAACTAAGGTAAAAGCCAAGAGATTCTATTTGGGGCAGAAAAGGGGGTGAAATCACCCATGAGGGTTCTCCAGCACTAACGCTATAGCTTGTTCAAAGGAACCTCGTTTGTTTCCCCTTTAGATGTTTTGAGAAAACACCAGCCTTGCCATCCTTCCTGTAAAACCTGCAATGGGTCTGCAGAGCTGTGCACTTCCTGTCCGAAAGGTTAGTGTGGCGTGTGGCCGAAGCAGGCAGCAGCCAGGCGGATTCCCTGGCCCTCCTGCGGCTGGCATCCACATGCAGAGGTCTGCGGGACCTCATTCTAGCACATTCTCACCGCAGTGGCTGCTATGGAGACTCCCAGGGACCCACACTGGGCCAGTAATAAACACTGGCTTTCCAATGGGAAAGAGGTTCTCAATTAAAAAACACAGTCAAGATTGGCTTGGCCGGAGAATTTAGTGGGGTCTGTGGGTCCTCAATGCCTTTGCAGATTCCCTTGCTATTTTGAGATAAGAGACCATGAGGTAGAGATCCTGAGTGTGGACAAAAAGTCCACCTGTCTTTCCGGCTTCGCTGCTGGTGCTGAGGTTAGGGTAAGGAGAGGAGGGGGAAAGGTCAGCAACATAATAGCTCAATAAATCATCACCGTCTTCACCACAAAACCTTGTAGAGGCTGTAATAAGATGCTGTTTTGTTTGCAGAGTGCAATCACATGAATAATGTTACACTCCCGTTAGTGATTACTTTGAAGGCCGTATTGGAACATGCGACATTAGGACAGTGGTCCCCGTATCCTTGCAGTTATGTTCCAGAGCCTCAAAATGTGCCTGAAATTGTCCAAAGGACTGGACCCCTGCTTACACGGTTTTTCCTACACTTTCCTATGATAAGTTTCAGTTTATAAGTTAAGCACAGTATGAGATTAACAACTAATAAAATAGGAAAAATGTAACAGTATACTGTAATAAAGGTGATTTATGAATTTTTCTATCTGGAACTTTCCATTTAATGTTTTGACCTTGAGCAACTAAGCTGTTGGGAAGTAACCATGGCTACGGGAAGAACAGTGTAGTGAACTATGGTATAAAATAACAGCAATACACTTAAAATAATACACGGTGGCCAGGGATGTAGCTCAGCGGCACAGCACCAGCCTGGCAAGCACAAGACCCCAAGTTCAATTCCTGGCACCAAAAAAGAAAAATGAAAAGAAAAAGAGATGGAATTTAAATAATATATGGACCAAGATTGTAGTGGTATAAAACATAAAACCCTACACCAAAAATCTAAAAGGATGTCCTTGGAATTTTGGAGTTAAAGACAATTTTAACGTTGGTTTCTTTCACACCAGCATGCGTTTTGTTTTGTTTTCTTTATTAAATGAGGAACGGCCTGGTCCATTACAGGGGGAGGTGGTTATAAGAGCCACTGCTGGGTTGGTGGGAGGCAGAAAGCCCTGATCCCTGCCACCTCCAGCATCTGCTGTGGGAGGCAAGTGACAGGCACAGGGCCAGAGCCTCCTGCCCACCTCGATCGCCCTCTAGATAGTTCTCTCCTGGGGAGACAGCACCCTCTGGCTGGCTTGCTGACCTTGCAGTCAGTGCTGGGAGCTCCCACCAGGAAGCTCACAGCAGCCTTGAGTGCGCTGTTTGGACAGAACGCGTGATGACTCCTCTCTGCCCTCTTCCTGGGTTCCTAGGTGCTTATCTGTTGGCCCAGGCCTGCGTCTCCTCCTGTCCCCAAGGCATGTGGCCTTCAGACAGGAGTGGCAGCTGTGAGAACTGCACGGAAGACTGTGCCTCTTGCTCCGGGGACGATCTTTGCACGCGGTGTCGCGCTCAGCCGGACCAGCCGCTCTTCCTGCACGGAGGCAGGTGCTACCACAGCTGCCCTGAGTAAGTCTCTTCTTCCATCTGCTTCCTGCTCATGCTTGGTCTCCACGATGCCCTGCAAGTCACTCCTTTCTACTTGCTGAAGAGCTCTCCCTCTTGGTCAGAGGGCCCACATGGAGGTCCTTTGCCAAATCTCCTATCTGCCTCGGTAACAGTGGCTGACACTAAGGCCGGACACCACTTCTCTCCATGCCTGTTCTGTGCACCTCTTTCTACCTTTGTGAAAATATAGTCAGGCTGTCCATATTGCATAACAGGGGGGCTGTTCTGAGAAATGCATGGTCCAGCAGTTTCACCCCGCAGATATCACCCAGGCATCGCTCAGAGGCTGTGGGTCATTCCATCACAGACCAGGGTCACCATCACCACAGCATCGTGACACAGTACATGGCTGGCTGTCCTCTTCATTCACCTCATATTAATGACTAGGTGTCCCCGTTTTTTATTCACCATCACAAAAGCAAGCCTGTGAGATACAAAGCAGGTGAGTTAGGAATTGCAAATCACAGAATGTCAGGTTGGTTATTCCCTGAGGCATAGTTTCCTCGCTCCCTTGGTTTATAATCCCTTAGTCTTCCCCTCAGTGCTGCCAGGATTTCCCTAAAACAGAAGCCAAGTGGACGGGAAAGTACATCAGGAAACTTACAGCAGTGAGTAACAAAAGCCAAGCCAAACAGCCCGGACAATAACTGCCTTTGTTATCTCCCCTAGCAAGAAGTTAGAATATCCAGCTGTGGCTACATTTGTAGCCACCACGTCCCTGGAAACCCCGGTCTCCCACGCTGCTCTTGTCCCTAGCTTGTCCTCTCCAGAGCCCCCGCTGGCTGCCTGCTTACCGCATGTCCCCGCCCCACGCGGTGACAACTTGAGGCAGACAAAGGGTTGTTTCTCCGTTTAGCTGCTTTTTGAGAGGAAAGAAAACTCCCTCAGACTCCCCTTCTGCTCTCATTGGCCAGAACGAACGTGTCCTTCACACCTCCTATACCTGTCTCTGGAAGGAACAGAAGCATAAGAGTCTTTTTTCCCTGGAATACATGGTCCCAGACCTACCTCTGGGTGTGCTACCAGCCCTACCTACAAGAGCGCTGCTCTTTCTCACACATGCATACACACAAGCCTGTGATCAGATTTACCTTGTAAATTAGGCAAAGGAAGAGATGAATGCTAACAACAAAATAGAACAATTATAATCATAATAAAAGTTATGCCTCTCTCTCTGCCCCCCCCCCGTGATGGGTTGCTGGGGATTGAACCCAGAGCCTTCATACTGAGCTACATCCCCAACCCTTATTTTGTGTTTTAAGTTCTTACTAGATCGCTAAATTTCCCAGGCTAGGCCCAAATTTGCAATGTTCCTGCCTCAGCCTCGAAGAGTGCTAGGATTATAGGCACACACTACCACTCCCAGCTGCAGCCTTCCTGTGATGCTATGAGGTGATACACCCCGTGTGGTGAGGTGAAGGAAAGTGAACGCTGCTGCCATTGTTACACAGCATCGGGCTGGTGTGTAGGGTAACATAAGCATGGGATCCACAGACACCACCAGATCCAACCCAATATCCGAAACAGCTGCTAACAGGCTGGTATCATATACAGGGTGGATCCACTGAATGAAAGGACAACTCAGGTCCCTAGCAAGGTCTCATCACACCAGAACGGTGTCCAATTAGAACAGATCCACTGATGACTTCTGCAGCTTTACATTCAGAATCTTCAGACCAAAGTCAACCAGAAAACCAATGTGAAATCTCAGGAAGCGAAACTGGGCTACAAGGGCTGACTGCTGTAAGGAGTGGTTTGAGCTGAACCCTGATTCACCCTTGAACTGGCAGCAAAATCAGTTCATTGGCAGGTAGAACAGGAGAGGGAGACAAGAAATTAATTTGGAGAAGCAACAGTGTCTATTGTAAGAAATTAGATATTTCACTTGCTTTCTGATTGAAGAAATTCTATGATAAAAGAGGCATGTAATTAATCCCAGCACTCTGGGAGGCTGAAGCAGGAGGATTGCAAGTTCTAGCCCAGCCTGTGCAACTCACTAGTTTATCAGGATTGTGTCTAGAAGGCTGGGGATCAAGTTCAGTATGAAGGTGCTGAGTTCAATCCTCAGTAACACTAAAGAAAAAGTATTTTCTAATAAGGTGTTTACTTATCTATGTACATTAGCAAGATGGACTCTGCAGAGTAAAAACAGAAACCATGGTAATTACCCTCAAGTGACATCCAATGTGGTGTAGACAGAAGCCAAGCACACCTGAGCCACCTTTCAGATGACATATTTAGCGCCCCCTAGGTGTAAGCATGGATAATGACAGCGTGGAGGTGTAGTTTTGGATATGCATAGCCTGGTAAAGCCTAGTTTCCTATCAAGAACTGACACTGATATTGAGAGGAGCTGAAGATGAAATGCAGGCATCTGAACATGAGCAAAGCTTGCAGTTCAGCAAGTTCACCTTGGCCGACACTGTACCTCTTAGAGCCTTGGTGCGCAAAGGACCCAGAGATTCCAAAGGGAAAGAAATTATTCTTAAACAGCTATTTTTTGTTTACTGATGCTTGTGCACTCTGCTAGGAGCTTCAGCTGTATGATCCCAGCAGTCTTACCAAGAATCCTCTTATTCAGATAGTATTATTTCCCCTACTTCACAGATGAAGAAAAGTGTAATGTGCCCACCAGTGTATACGTAGAGCAAAAGTGATGATCAGAAATCTGCTTACCAAAGCCGGTCATTGTGCCCTTATCAATCTTTGCCATAGTGAGATTGACATAGTTGTGAATATTATTCCTCATTTCTGGGTGTGGTGCTGCAGGTCTGTAATCCTAGCACTTTTGGAGGCTGAGACAGGAAGATCACCATAAGTTCGAGGATCCTCTGGGCTCCATAGTGAGTTCAAGGCCAGCCTGAACTGCATAGCAAGACTGTCTCACAAACATTTTTCTTATGTAGTCATTATCTCTTTCCCCCAATTCTTTCCTGGATTTTTCAACATGAGAATTGGCAATGCATTAAAACAAGAAAGAGATGCATTCTTCCAGTTCAGTATTTCATTTTCCTCCAAGTCTGGGCTCAACTATTTATATGAACCAATGGAACACTGAAGATACATAGCAGTCAGGACATTTTGTTTTGTTTTGCGCTGATTATTTTTGAGATGAGGCCTCACTATGTAGCCTGGAATGGCACTGAACTTGCTATGGTGTCCAAACTGGCTTCACACTCATGATCCTCCTGTCTCAGCCTCCCAAGTGCTGTGATTGCAGGTATGTGCTATATAGAGAGTAGAAAAGCCACCAGAATGTTCTGGGACCTCCTGCAAAATATGGACCACAAGCATATGCTTCCTGTTTTTGAACAGCATGCTCTGATTACTGTGGGGTCCCCCCCCCTTTGTTCCATGGAACCTACAGTATTCAGCTTGTCCTGGGAGGCTTTGTTGTTATTGCTGAGAAATGGCCTCTGAGGGTGTGATCCATCCTAAAACAGCAGTAAGACCTATAATAGGAGCACACCTTATAGTGAATGAGCATCCAAGCACTTAGAACTGCTTAACAATCAACCCCATACCACTGCTATTTCAAATATTTTTCACCAAGCAAAGGAGTCTGAGTGTAACATATACCATGCTTGTGACTGTGAAAAAAGCAAACAAAAACAAAACCAATCTCTATGGTGTATAAATTCACCAATACAAAGATTTGAGACTATAGTGTAAGAAAAATAGTCCTCTTAGAAGCCCTGGGAGTCACTGTCATGGGTACGTTCAATGCAGGTAAAGCTGTAAATCTATGCAGTTTTCACAGTGCACTTATCTAGGCCCTAGGTACTGTGGCTTGAACAATTTAATAGGTACGATCATTTCCCTTCAAATGAACTGTGTCTCCTTAAATAAAAATAACAGTGAAATAAAGCATTAACAGAAGGTTTTATAAATGCCAGCACAGATCTCTGTGGAGAAGGCTGACTTTAGCAAAATGGTTCTTTGAAAAACACCTCCTGAAAATTTGTGTTCACACAAAACACTGCACATAGATAATGATAGCAACTTTACTCATAAGGTGCATTAATCAGTTTGCCATCCCTATGACAGCATACCTGAGAGGGTCACTTTGCAAAGAGGAAAGGTTGTTTGGCTCACAGTTTTGGTGGTTCTACCTCAGGATCAGTTGGCCCAAGGTTTGGGGCCTCTGGCAAGGTCACACATCATGGCAGGCGTGTGTGTCAGGAACAAGCCGATGAGTTCCTTGGCAGGAAGCAGGAGGAAAGACAAGCAGGAGACTGGACTTCCACAAAGGTGGGGACCCCACAGTAATCAGAGCATTCTATTCAAAATAGGAAGCATATGCTTGTGGTCCATACTTTGTAGGAGTCCCAGAACATTCTGGTGGCTTTTCTACTGTTCTCTATATATCCAACTGGAATTCCATGGCCTGCATTAAAAACACGTGCCCAAGACCTCAGAGGGCTCCCATTAAGCCCCCCATTTCCCAAGAACATTCCCATGGGACCACACCCTTCATATACAGGCTCTCAGAGTCCAAACCACAGTATTAGGTGAATGGATAAATGTGGTATCTAATGTTAAAAGGTAAACTGAGGCACATGAAAATATTAAGTTTATCTGATCATTCCATGATTCATAAATTGATAACAACAGCCTGCAAGAAGAGATTCAATGTCCCACTGAGGAAAAAGAAGAAACCTTTATAAGATATTCGTGGAAACGAGACCAAAAATATAAGTTTAGCTGGTTAGAGTGGGGTGTTCCTACTTAGAGTTTAGTTGGTAGTTTCCAGTTGGTTAAGCTTGGGTCCTCTTACTTTTTACACTGGTTTCAGTTTGTTTACATGGGAGCCCAAGGTTCTGGAGCTGCTGTCCAGCCTGGTGGCCTCCCATTAAATTGGTTTTAACACCAGCCAGCAGAATATTATTCAGCAGTGGAAAGAAATGAGTTATCAAGTCACAAAAGAGCAAGGAGGAACCTTGAATGTACTTACGTGGTGA